TCATTGACTACGAAAAGGCATTTGACAGCGTGGACAGAACAACACTATGGAAACTTCTTCGACACTACGGCGTGCCTCAGAAGATAGTCAATATCATACAGAACTCATATGATGGATTACACTGCAAAATCGTGCATGGAGGACAGTTGACAAAGTCGTTCGAAGTGAAGACCGGTGTTAGGCAAGGTTGCTTACTCTCACCGTTTCTCTTTCTCCTGGTGATCGACTGGACCATGAAGACGTCAACGTCTGAAGGAAAGCGCGGGATACAATGGACATCTAAGATGCAGTTGGATGATCTAGACTTCGCAGACGATCTGGCCCTTCTATTCCAAACGCAACAACAGATGCAGGAGAAGACAAACAGCGTGGCAGCAGCCTCAGCAGCAATAGGTCTCAACATACACAAAGGGAAAAGCAGGATTCTCCGATACAACACAGCATGCACCAATCCAATCAAAATTGACGGAGACGATTTGGAAGATGTAAAAACCTTTACATATCTGGGCAGCATCATTGATGAACAGGGTGGATCTGATGCAGATGTGAAGGCGCGGATCGGCGAAGCAAGAGCAGCATATTTACAACTGAAGAACATCTGGAGCTCAAAGCAACTGTCAACCAACACCAAGGTCAGGACTTTCAATACAAATGTCAAGACAGTTCTACTGTATGGGGCAGAAACCTGGAGAACTACAAAAGCCATCATCCAGAAAATACAGGTGTTTATTAACAGTTGTCTACGCAAAATACTTCAGATCCATTGGCCGGACACTATTAGCAACAACGTACTGTGGGAGAGAACAAACCAGATCCCAGTGGAGGAAGAAATCAGGAAGAAGCGCTGGAAGTGGATAGGACACACATTGAGGAAAGCACCGAACTGCGTCACAAGACAAGCCCTCACATGGAATCCTGAAGGTCAACGGAAAAGAGGAAGACCAAAGAACACATTACGCCGAGAACTGGAGATAGACATGAGAATAATGAACAAGAATTGGATGGAACTAGAAAAGAAGGCCCAGGACAGAATGGGTTGGAGAATGCTGGTCAGCGGCCTATGCTCCATTGGGAGTAACAGGCGTAAGTAAGTAAGTAAGTATATATCACATTTATAAGCTATAATTTTACAAGAGATTGATTTTGCTTTTCATAGAATTCATGTACAAAATTTCCAGCGTTTCGCAGAATTTATTCAAACGCATCTGTTAGAAAAATTTCTGTACTGAACGTTTTATCCAGGAAGTATAGTTGAAATATAGTAGAATGACTGTAATGTTAGAGGAAGTTATTTTAAAATAAATATTTTCGTAAGAATTTTTATGAGATCTACACTGGCACATCACTGAAATATGTAGAAGTCTAAAGGTAACGCGTTTGCCGCGAAGCCTGAAAGTGGTAGGTTGGATCCATATTGATGTCGTTGATGATCAAAACTGAGAAGACTTTTACTAGGACGAAACAGATGTACAATAATCCCTGGTTTCAAATAGTTGTTTATCTATAGTTGGTTTTTTATGAAAGCTCTCATCAGTTTGAACATCCTTTATGAAACTTTTATTGTAACTTTTATTATTGAAATTTTTTCACATATAACCAGAATACGTTTATACCTAGATAGTTCCACTCAATATATTTAGTCTCTAGATAATCATGTTTAATCTTTGTTAATCTATACAGAAAGTGGACTCACTTAGCTGGAGGCGTTAATAAATACAACTTATTACATAGCTATATACAGAACTAAAAATAATATATTTGTAATATCCCAATGAGTAGAAAATTGGATTACACTAAGTCACGAAACGTCAGAAAATCCAATTTTCTACTCATTGGGATATTACAAATATATTATTTTTATTTATAACAATCAACCCAATGCTCAATTTATTCGAAATTATCAAATAAAACCTTGGTAATGACACCTATATATACAGAACTGTTAGTGCTCACTTATTTTCAAATGACAGTTATAATACTCTATTAACCCATCCAATATAGATTTAGCTAAAACATCTTGATAATGAGAAAACCTGGTACTGTGCAACGCATTACAATAGTCTAATTTTGTGCTTGGTCATTTTCAATCTATACACTTCTTGCAATTGGCAATGATTTACTTTCCAGACTTTAATGCATCTTTTTTACAAACAAAAGCTTAAAGATTATCACTTATTCTAGATTAAATTTTAGGATATCCTGATACTCGAAATGGATACATAGCGTTGGAACTTTGATGAGTATTAGTGGTAAGGTATGCATACTGAGTAGGATTCAGCAAATTCTAAGAATAATATATATTCGCTGAAAGAATACGGTTACATCAAAAACTATGGGTAATTCGACAGTTCAGGTCTAGTTGAAAAAAATGATTAAAACAAGTCAACATTCAACTTATCACTATCAGCAGTGATAAGAAAATGCTATTTATATTAAAATTACACATCCGTGTGATACCTAATTTTTGTACTACAAAAGACGAAAGTATAAAAAATTATCAGGAATATGTTTTCATCCCACTGATATCCACAAGAGATGAATTGATGGCAGAGATCAATCGAAGGCTGACAAGTAACGCCCAGAAGTACATCTCTAATTAATACAATATGATGTTCAGTAAAGGAAATGTAAACAGACACGTCACCTATAATGCAAAATGAATTTATGGGTATTGTAGAGATAAAACGATAGACATCTAATAATATTTTTGAGAATAGTTTTAGAAAATCTGGTTCAGAGGTGAGAATATTATTTATAGCTAGATCGCATTAACCATGCTGGATACAATGCACAAGAGAGGTAATAGTAAGTTCATTGAGAGTAAACAGTAAATAATATAACTATCCTACTGAGTTCCACAGAAGCCATAACACATAACTAGTTATAACTTTGTCTTCATCTTTCAAAAGAGTTATTAATAAAACTTTAATCCCTTTGTTAGAGGAAGTAATCCATTTAAATAAATTCTTTTCATCTTTTGACTACTTATTCAATTAAATTAACCTTGATATTATATCCTACTTTTTTTCTCCGTAAATTCTTTTTTGTTACACTAAATGAATAAATATTCAAAAACTATTATTTTACTTATAAAATCTTTCTTAAAGCTTATTTTCATGTTGCACACTGAAGTGGTAAAAACGCTAGATGGATGCTATTAATAATGAAAGTTGGATTTTTCAATGGTTTATCACTATATAGGGCCAGATTAACTAAATTGTTTCGACTCAATTGTCTGAGCAAAGAAAATTTAAATGATATATTTCAAGTATTTGTACTTTTGGTCCATTATCAATGATTTTAAAAGGTTAATTTCATGAATAGAATTATTATCTAACTAAATTGGAAATTTAAGTGCTCATTTATTAGTTGATTTCATCTATTAATACGGTGGCTCGGGTTTACAAATAACCATATATAATTGCCATTTGTAGATCACGGGGAGACTATCATACATTCATGCTATAAATTCAAAATCCCACGGTTTACACTTTTCTACTTCAATCAGTTTATGATTTAACCCGATCCTCATCCAACGTTACCGATGAGTTATTATGTCGATTTCAAACTTCATTGTCTCCACATATTATAGTTTTCTGTCAGAATGAGCGAGTTCAAAACTAAGATGAAATAGCTATCCAGTGGTTACGATCCATGACGTTTCATTCAAGTACACAAGCTTCATATACGCTTGCTCAACCAACTGAGTGAGAAGACTAGGAGGCTGTAATTAGCAAATTGAGTAATTAGGTGTAAAAAATTTTGCTATATATACATTTTATCTTCTAACTCAGACGAGTAAATTTATGCAGTGATCTTAAGTAGAAGCATAATCGACTTCCCTCAATCATGTGTCTCGTTCACGATCTCGCATCTACAGTTTAAACTTGAAATAGCATTTGGGGGGTAGGCAAATGGTATACTTAAACTGCCCAAGCTTATTATTAGTGCTTCTTGATTTCAGGGTTTCCTAAATTGTCGTCAATTCATGATTAAAACAATATCTTCCATGAAAAGTAAATTCAATTTGCTGTGTTACAGTCGTAATCGAAACACCGGCTATGTGAGGAGGACCCACGGGTGAACTCGAAGAAGCTCTGGGAAGCTCAGAAAGAGCCGAAGACATTCCATTCATACATTCACAAAAGTTAACATCCTTTTTAATTTCTTCGCGTACCGGTCCATTCGTAACTACTAGAATGCCTTTTGAACAGATCCGGGAATTTCTATTGAATATACTACATTCAATACTATTACTTATTCTATTTGGCACAGAAATGGAGTAATTTACTGGGTAATCGATGAAGTGTCCAAAGACTACATGGACCGATTTAAAGTTCAGGGTATGGCAAGGAAAGGTGTCCAGGGTGATAAAACTTCTTCCCATTTCCTTGCATTCATCATCAAGGACGTGTTTAATCTGCCAATAAATACAACGTTCACAAAGAAATCTATTTTATTGCCGTATGAAAATCTAAAGGAATTATTGATCGTTCATCTGAAAAGTACCAGTCTTTGAATGTAGAGTGAAATTTGACAAAATGATTGATTAAGGTGACCAAAACATCAAAGATTTTATTCCCGAACTCCAAAAACAAACCAAGGAACGTTCGCTACAGAGGTAATCGAGCTCTGGCTTACGTGATAAACAAGAAATAATCACACTACCATTTAAATACACAGTACCGTCAGGACTAATGAATAATTGCTCATTTATAGCAAAATAAACAGGCGAATCTACGTTTCTTATTAGCATTTCAATTACATAGCCAAAAAGATCACAAATCATCAGCTAGTAAATAAAATCCCACTGCTTAAAAGAAAAAAATATTGAACTGAAACATGAATTCATAGACGTGCAAGCAAACAATCTGTATAATGCATTTGAAACGTTTCACATGTAATTGAATTCCCTTTAAAGTCACCGGAAAACTGATACTATATTAATCGATAATATTTATTGTATTTCTACCATTGAAAAAAGTTTTTCTTCATTATGGCTGAAATTAAATATGTCATATGATTTTCAGTAAAAATGTAAATCTTATTGGTGCATTATACACAGAGTTGTCAAAATACTCGACAGTAACTAAGCAACGTATCTTGTTTTAATATAATTTGTCGTTTATAAAATATCACAGGTAGTATGTATAAATTAACTAAATTCAAAGTATCGATAATCTCATATTGAAAGACGATACATTCTATAATAATAAAAAACAATTGGAAACGGAATATTATAGATTTTTGTATGATTAAACTTTGTGAAAAATATCTTTCGTTTTGTAGATAACTTAATGGACTCTGAACTGCTATTTTATATGAAATATAGTATTGAATAGATCAAATGACGTATTTCATTTAGTTTTATAATTACTGTGCTTAGTTGTATGAAGTTGTGAAATACTGAATAGTTTACTTCTGATGAGTAAAAATGAACAATCCTTACTTCTACCCCACAATAAACATAGTGTATACTAAACTTACAAGGAACGCTCGGTATGTTCCACAATGAAATATTATATTACATAACGAATGAGTGTTTACGGAACAATGAACAGTGCTAAGTAGCTCCAGAAGAATTATATTGAAACATCAAAAGACAATAAATTAAAATCAATTTCACTTCTATTCAACAGCATTGACACAGAAACAATAGAAATTTATAGTAACAATCCATATATGTCATAATTAGTTTTTATTACTGTTCAAATATTACAGCCCCTTTTGTTGACATTTAATGTACTGTCAACCAACGTAGTATCTTTGCACTGCGGCATATTTAAAACATTCGTATAACAGCCATTCAGATTTCCTGCTAATTAACTTTGTCTATTGGGTTGTAGCTGTGCATGTCATTCCCTTATCGATTGGTCAGGTCATTTGAATGCAACGATAGATTAGAAGTCTTTATTTCATCAATTGAAATTACAAATTGTAAGTACTAACGATCCCGTCGACAATTTTTTCATCCTAACTAGATTATTATAATTCAAAAGCTGTTCATTGTCACTAATTATCAATATTTGGTGGTACAGTGGATAAAATGAAAAAATTCTAGCTTTCATAATCTTGGAATCCGAAGAGACGGATATAAAATGAATTTCGACGTTTGGTTGTATTACTTTGGTTCACAGCTTAATTGATTATAAAAGTGATATAACGGACTGCAACATACTGTTAATTAGGAGCTTCGGTTTAGTAAGTAATTGCCTAAAAATGAATTTCTTGAATAAGCAACTATACCGTCGCACACAGTTTAATCAGGACTATAGTCAGAACAGATCACTAGTATATAACCAACTATCGTTATCTATTTCTAAAGTGTAAATCAATACAATTAGTATAAAAATGCAAAGTAGTAGTCAATTACAAAGAGAACAGTAAGCACACGCATACCGAACAGTAGCAGAGATACAAGATGAATCAATAAAATGGGTCAGAGTAATAGCCAGTTTGGGATTAAATGAGAGTAGTGGGCCCTTAACTCATATGATTGGTTGATTCACTTTTATCGATAGTGATTAACAGTTTGCTTTTATATACAGAATACAACTAGGTGACACTTTATTACATTTTTTCTCTGTCAGAACAACTCACAACTATGGACAAAGTAAATTTCGACTTTAATTTTCTAGATATTATACCTAAAATAGTAGACGAATAAATAGCTTTGGAAATTCGGTGACAAAAAATCACAACAAACTGGAAATTATTTGAATGTAGCTGCCTTCTATAAAGAAGGTTGAAAATATGTATCCTTTAAGTTCACTTGAAACAGTAGCATCTAAACTTTTCAGATGACATCGAAGGACAAGAAAGTAAAACGAAATACTTTATCGCCCACTATTTTAACGCCAAAACAGTTCAAACCAAGCAGAAAGAAACTTAGGTATAACTTTTGGGACCGAATCCTAGTGCACAAATAAACATTGGGTCCATATAAATCCTGAAAATCGTTTGTTTGCAAAGTCCTAGTTTTAGATCTATTGCACTGATGGATTCTCGTAAACTCATCCCATCAGGTCCTGAACGTGAAGAGCGTAAACAAATCAGATCTAGGTTAAGCAAAAGTCTAAGGAACGACCGTGAGCAGTGGTGTGCAACGAAAGCAAAAGAGATGGAAAAGGCATCGGTTAAAGGGAACACAAGACAGCTCTACAGACTAATAAAAGAAAATGAGATTACTAAGTCAAATGTAAGCCAGGCTATTTCGGAAAAAGACGACACTCATCTGCTCCCAGTCCAGACGTTTAGAACGATGGGCGGAACATTTCAGAGAACAGTTTAGCTGGCCTTCAGCTACTCTACAACTACCCTCCATTCTCCAACAGTGTGAATGGAACATTGAAGTACGTCCCCCAACTGTTGCTGAAGTTCAAAAGGCTATAGTTAATCTGAAACGAGGAAGGGCAGCTGGTCCAGATGGATTGGCTCCAGAGGTCTTTAAGGATGGTGGTCCAATTTTAGCCATTAGGTTGACTAATATTTTAGCTAAGATCTGGGAGTCGGACGTAATCACATTTGACTGGTCGCAATCACTTATCGTCCCAATATATAAGAGAGGGCCAAAATCATCCTGTGACAACTATAGAGGGATTAGTTTGACTAATATGGCATCTAAAATACTAGCCTCGATAATTATCAGACGCCTAACTAAGACTCGTGAACTGCAAACACGAGAAAATCAGGCTGGCTTCAGACTTAATTTTGGCTGCATCAACCACATATTCACCATTCGTCAGGTTCTAGAACACAGGCATAATTATCGGCGTCCGACAATGGTGATCTTTCTTGACATAAAAGCAGCATTTGACTCCGTAGACCGCGAAATGCTGTGGCAGTGTCTGTCAGAAGTACATAAACCTTGTAAAGGCTCTTTACTCGAACACTACTAGTCGAGTCAGAGCTTATGGGGAACTGTCATCTACTTTTGCAACCTCAAGTGGTGTCCGTCAAGGCTGGCCACTTTCTCCATTTCTGTTTAACTTCATCATAGACCTACTGATGGAAATAACATTCTCGTCGACTGAATTTTCGAGCATTGATCTCCTTCCAGGAGGTCCACTTATCAACTTAGAACACGCAGATGACATAGTCTGGTTTGGTGAACACGCTGATAAAATGCAGTCTTCTGGTAGCACTAAGCAACAATACCAGAATGTTCGGGATGCGCTTCTCTCCCTCTAAATGCAAGTTGTTGCTTCAGGACTGGTCTGCGCCAACACATGAACTAAGGATATGGAGTGAAGTAGTCGAACGCGTTGACAACTTCACTTATCTTGGAAGTCTGATCAGCCCTAATGGGCTGGTATCGGACGAAATCTCAGCATGGATTCGGAAAGCTCATTTGGCTTTCGCCAACTTACGTCACATATGGCGAAGGCGAGGTATCTGTCTATCAATAAAAAAAACGAGTATACTGCACGGCAGTCCGTTCTGTTTTAATTTACGGCAGCGAAACATGGCCATTAAGAGTTGAAGATACTCGTAAGCTACCAGTTTTTGACCACAGATGCCTTAGAAATATTGCTGGCGTCTGCTGGGATCACCGGGTAAGTAATAGTGAGGTTCGACGCAAGGTATTAGGGAATGATGGCAAGTCAGTTGATGAGGTTGTGAATCTTCATCGACTGAGATGGTTGGGCCACGTGTTACGTATGTCCGAACACCGATTATTACGACGTGCAATGTTAACCGGTGCTGGAGATGGTTGGAAGAAAGTTAGGGGCGGCCAAATCAAAACGTGGAATCAGTGCTTGAAGTCACCAACTTCTAGTCTGAGCCGTATTAGTAGATGCAGGCTACTTGGTTGGGATCCGCGTGACTATCGTGACCAATGGTTGGAGACTCTTGGTGACATGGCTCGGAATCGATCACAATGGCGTAGGTGCATACACTCTGTCTTCCCTTAAACTAAGAGATTAAAATCACTTCATATCTTTCTTCATTCCTGTACTATACTCTTATATGCAATCTTCCTTCTATATATTACCCCCATTGAAGTAACTAAGTCTATGAATCCAGCGTCCATCTTGCTGTGCTATTGCGGTATGGCAACTTGGACCGATGCACATATGTGCCTGGTCCTACGTTGTAGCTGACTGACTGACTAATACGTCGGAGAAGGTAATGCCAAATATTTAGAGTATAAAAACCAAATTGGGCTTAAATAATTAGTTGGTGAGATTATTGAGAAGAAACAGGTAAGTAACGCTTTTCCAGATAGAAATTCCGGAGAGATTGTAGTTTCATCAGCTCTCCATTTATCCACTGTTCATTATTAGATTTAGCAAGTGACATTAAGCCTGCCCCCGTTAACTTTTAGTGAAGTCGAGACCATGATTAGCATGTGAAAGTCAACGACTTTCAGAATGATTGCTTAAAATGTGTGATACTGAATTTTAGGGGCTGAATGTAATTTAGACCCCACCATTATTAGTCCCAGTCTATATGAAACGGAAACGGTCCTACCGTTACAATCACAGGACAATCGGCTTGACATATACAGTTTCTAACACAGTCTTGTATTCCAACGTCTGAGACTTGTGAAAATAAAATCCAAATAATCCAAGGTTTTACAAGTATGGCTGTGAATGTATACACTAAATACTTACCGCTGATCAGGGTTTACAACTCACGCGTACCCACCAAATCTGATTGCCTATCTTTATGCGAAGACTACGCTATACTTGCATAACAACAGATAATTCGTAACACCCAACATATCATGCATCGACGACTTAGTCCCGTTTCGATTACTAAGTATAATTTCAGAGATCAGTCACTACATAATTGCATTTCGATGTGATAAATGCTTAGCTCAGTCAATCCCTGGTGAATAAGTGACAGGAACGTTCGGATGTAGTTGTAGACTATGACAGATAAATTGTAGCTGTAGAAGCCTAAGAGTAGGGAAATGAACCTATCAATATTATAATGGACAAATAAAATACCATATTTGTTGGAGAATTTAAGTGCTGTTGTCGAGACAGCAGAACCTGCATCACTAATGATAACAAGGAGATTAGCATGATTCTTATTACGAGATTTTAAGTTATTTCTTGAACAACTCCCGTCAGTAGAAATCCTCAGTGTAATAACTAGTTAAAACCATAGAAGATAGCTATATGGCTACTTTGGTTTAGAAAAGGTCTGCTAGAAAGTGAAGAATAAGCTTAAGAGGTCATGCTTGTAATTGCGACGTCGCAGCATACATCAATCCCCATTAAAAACCACTCATATGCTGGTCAAGTCATCTTAACCTGTAAAGCAAACTTTGTCGAAAGTAACTTTACGCACTAAGAAATATCCCTTAAATATCAAGAGACTAGGAATACATAAATATGATTATATTCTGAGAACAGGACAAAAACAAATATTGGATGATTAAATAAGATAGATTTTGTATCAAAATGATTTAACAGTAACTTACACAAAGTAATAGTTTCTAACTCTTAAATGGAGAATGGATATTATAATTGAAGAAAAAGTTACTGCTTCTCTTGAGGTGGGACGATAACTACAGGAATATGAGCATGGTGAAGAACATAATCGCTAACACTCCCCAAGAATGTACGACGAATAGCTCCAAGACCACGATTGCCCATCAGAATAACGTTTGCCTTATGGTCTGAAATTGCTTTTACCAGAGAGCTACCAGGTTTGGTATCAACATGTAAAAACGCCTTAGCATTGAGCTTGTGACTTTTAGCTTCGTGCATATACTTCTGACCAAGCTTTTTACCTTGTTCAATGCTTTCTTCCATAACTCGTGTCATGTCAGGTATTGGAGGAGATTCCATTGTCATTCCAATGGCTGGAGTGTTATAAACTGGCTCTATTACGTGTACAAATGTTATGCAGTCAGTGTCACGTTTCATATTTTCCAAGTACCAACGAAATGCTCGATCACAATGATCACTGCCATCAATCGGGATCAAAATCACACGAGATGACTCGCCAGCATCAGCCATAATTCCTCAACCCATAAATGTTAAACAATCGTTTGTTATATAACGAAACAAAAGCAAAGATTCCAACCAATTAAATTGCGATATCATATTAGTTAACACATTGATATACAGACAGGTCCTCACAGCCAATAGTGTTGAAGCATCCAACAATCCCTAAGTGTGAATGACACATCAACAAGTCAGTTTTATCACACAACGATATCAACTACCAGAACCAATGAAAACTAGGCATTATTTTGCTTCAATTGTTGTTGTAGTAATGCCTTCTACTAAGTGACTTGCCGATGTACCCATCTTTCCGTTGTCTTTCAAGACTTCAAAGTGAGCGATATGTATTTACTTGACTTGGATTAACTTTGAACCCTAAATAAATATGTTTTTTTAGGAATAATAACGTTTCATTAATGGTGGACTTATTTTTACTCCCTCTTATACACTTCCGTAGTTTGATGGAATACATTTCCAATTCCTGATGACAGGATATTGTAATTAACGGTTACTTATTGCTAACTCAATTCCGCCTGAACTCCCTCCAGGGGCTACTGCCGGTCCCAAGCCCGGATAAAGGAGAAGGGTTAGGCATGGGGTTAGCATCCCCATCCCATAGAAAACTAACTCGCTAAAAAAACGCTAACCAGAGAAAATTATTCAAATCTTTTAAACTCTGCCCCGGGAGTCAGAAGGTCTTCATTTAGAAGAACTATAACGCCTCATGATGAAAGCCGAATTCCTTCGGAAGTTACGAGGCCGATGCCCATTCTGACAACCAGAGCGACCATTTATTTAGGTGCATGGAATGTTCGTACAATGTGGGACACCAGGAGGGCCTTCCAAATTGCTGCAGAAATGAGAAGACACAACCTAGAGGTACTTGGGATCAGTGAAACAAATTGGACGCAAGTTGGACAACAACAACTAGCTTCAGAGGAGCTTCTGTTACACTCCGGCCATGATGAAGAAAATGAAAAATATACACAAGGAGTTGCATTGATGCTGTCCAAACAAGCACAAAAGGCACTTATAGGATGGGAATCTCATGGACCAAGGATCATCAAAGCCTCGTTTAAAACAAAGAAAGAGGACATTTCAATGAACATCATCCAATGCTATGCGCCTACCAACGACTACGATGAAGACGCTAAAGATCAATTCTACAATAGGCTGCAGTCAATCGTCGAGAAGTGCCCAACAAAGGACCTGACCATTCTGATGGGAGATTTCAACGCCAAGGTTGGAACAGACAACACTGGATATGAAGACATCATGGGACGACACGGACTAGGAGAAAGAAACGAAAATAGTGAGAGATTCGCAAACCTATGTGCCTTCAATAAGCTGGTCATAGGCGGCACTATATTTCCACATAAACGCATACACAAAACCACATGGACTTCACCGGATCACTCTACACAAAACCAAATCGACCATATTTGTATCAACAAAACGTTCAGGAGGACTATAGAGGACGTGAGAACCAAGAGAGGAGCTGATATAGCATCAGACCATCACTTGCTGGTCGCCAAGATGAAATTGAAACTCAGGAAGCAATGGACAACGGGGCGGACAATATCACAAATTATTCTTGCATCGAATATCAGTTAGATTTGATATCATAACTTCAAAATAAAACAGTACAAATATCAAATATATACCAATATTCATTCGTAACCAAATGTTATTAAGTCCCCTTGTTCAGCATTAATCAAATTCAATAGAAAATCCAAAATAATCAAATTACTCTAACTGAAAATCATTCACCTAACCAGTTGGGGCTAAACTATCATTGTTACCAATGCCACATGTGTCCTTAATTCAAACAAAGAAATAAAAATGAGGTTAATATTTGAAGTTGCTTCTAGAAAATGAAAATAAATAAAGGTCGAATGGACTAAGTAGAAGAGAGGCAGGGGTGGGATATCAGTATTCCCTAGTTATACAAATGATCAATACTCACTATTTAAACAGAAGTATTGATTAATAAAGGGAATAATAACTCTGCGTTTTGTGATAAAAATCAATAAAATGGATTGACCCACGTACTTTGTTGTGAATAGCAACTTACTATTTAGTAAAATTTTGATTAAATTTCATACTATATTCCAATTTATTAACAATTCATGGTGTGCAGTTATAATTGAAAAAGTATACCGCAGGAGAGAACAAACCAGCTTCCGGCTGAGGGGGAAATTAAGAAAAGACGTTGGAAGTGGATGGACACATATTAAGGAAATCATCAGACTTCGTCACGAGGCAAGCCCCGACTTGGAATCCTTGGGAGATCAGGAAAAGAGGAAGACCAGGTAATACATTGCGTCAGGAATGGGAAGCAGACATGAAAAGAATGAATAGTGACTGGAAACAACTGGAACGGATTGTCCAGAGTAGTTAGCTGGAGAATGCTAGTGGGCGTCCTATTCTTCTCCATGAGGGTTAACAGGTGTAAATATACATATATGTATGTAGGCAATAGAAAAAATAAACATCCTTCAAGTAAAGAAACAGGTTGTACCTATATCTAATCTACCATGATAAATGCTAATCTCTAATTTTACCACTTAAGAAGATTAAAGTTAGATCTTTCCTCATTGTACTTTTTCAACTCAACGCTTCTCATTCTTTTCATGTAACTACCTTAATAGATTATCATTTAATCAGATTGTTTAGTGTTATTGTTATGATTTGTGGTGACCTGTCAAATATCACGTGATTTATTCGCCAATCAGAATACGGCTTATACGATCTCAGCACTGTGCCGAACCAGTGACGTGTTGACGGGTACGAGCAGACTAGAGTTCTTATTGGACCTTCACGTCTGGCCCTGCTTATAGAGCTCAGAACCCCAATATCAACTCCCACTGCATGAGCCATATATTTCAAACATATTTCAAACCAGACCACATCATAATATAAAAAAATAACACTTGCGCAGGAACAAATCAAAAAGTGGCTGTGATTGTGAGAGACTGTAATTAATACACTGGGTGTAACTTAAGAAAAGTAAGTCGTATAATAATAAGCAAAGATGGATAGTGGCTAGCAGTGGAATTCAGGACGTGCGTTTCGTCCTGTCTGGGACTCGTCAGCTGGATGTACCTGCATCTCAGAGTCTATGTTCACCCTGGGACTCGAACTCAGTACCGTTCGCTTCAAACGCCATCGCGTTATTCACTTAGCTACTGAGTCCCGATAGCCACTTGCTTGTGCAATGGGGTGAAGTTTAATTCACTTGTTATTGTTTTACTTGAATCTTCCCATTGATTCTTTAGGACTGAAATTGATCAGTTTCATCACTGATATAGATATACATAATCTAGTTACTCATTAGTTGTAGAATAAGAATATATGTATAACATTAGTCCATTAATAGGTTTCAGAAGTTATCTATAATTTAATCTACGCTAGGATATAACAGTTATGTACACACTTCCACCTGCTAACTTAAAAAGAAAAATGACAACGATTTCAGTAGTAATTTTTGTGGTTAGTTCAGCTGATCACAAGCTTCTGACAAATGTACTCTTCTCTGAGCGATTTATAAACACATTTTCACAAATAACTCACAAATGATTCGACTAGAACATTATAAATCCACAGAAACAATTCACATACACTTCTTTGAGATTGTCAAATCACTAAACTACCTGTCATATTGTAGTGATTATTGTGTTTAATTGACAAGTGTTTTCTGGATGTTTAAGAAAAGTTTCATTCCAATTGTTGTTCAAATTCATGTAGTTTGTATGCAGTGAGTTACGTGATTGAAATACTGATATCGAATTCAGTATTTGAACGCATATGAAGGTATTGATAAAACTCATCTGATCACCAACTTTATTCTACATGTCAACATGTAGAACATCGGACACAAAGCCAAAGTACAAATGATGTATTGAACTCGATCACATAATAGGATTTAAATCAGTGTTTAAGTAGTATGGGGAACAATGAACACGTAGTTATCCACTTGAACCAATCTTTTTTTCTGAAAGATGTCGTATGTTATTGGTGATCACAAGAAAAGTGAGTAATGAGTGGTGTAATCTTAACAATAGTGTAATGGAACCAGAATGAGAGTGAATATTTGAGAATACAATCGTTCATTCTGATGAATGGAACATTTGATTTCTACACCATTAGTCCAGTTAAATCATCTGTACAGAACCATTAACCAGATCACATCATCAAAAATCAATAATCCATTATATCGTAAATATTTACATTACTTGTCCACAATCTGCTTAAATTCCATGTAGTCATCATAATTATCGATGTTTAATATAAACATAGATCTCGTACTTTCTTACAATTTAGATTATTATACAATTAAATATGCATATACAATTGAATATGGTGGGAAACTCGCAACGTTAGTGATTTGTGTTCATAACCCATTTGTGTTCTGTTACAATAAATTGTGTTCATCATAAATGTGTCGATCGATGACAAAGTTTACAAAGAATACAAAAAAGTTAATCACATGTAACTCGCATATTTATGGAAAGTTTCCATTTTGTTTAAATTATTACTAGTATTAGTACTAGGCTACTGAACCAGGTTATTCTCAATATATGTGTTGGACATATTAAACCCTTGAATACAATATATTAGAAAGAAATAAACATCGTAATTTATGATCAACCTCATAAATAAACCTCACAAACTGTTTTGACGTATTATTCGTTCAGCTGACTTTGAATGTAGTTTCAGTCGTATTAATTATTTCATCATAGTAAACCAGTGTTGTCAGTCAGTAACAGAGATGAAAAACCAATCATGAAGATCAGTCGCAAAGGAAGAAATAGTTAGAGTACTTTGACGTGTTCTTGAGTACGGCAGCCACACCGAACCCACTCGGACCATCAGTATAACAGTGGTTTCTGCGGAAGTGAACCTCAACGTTCATAAGGGAAAAAATCAAGTTCCTGAAATACAACGCACTGATGGCCAAGCTCTAGGAGAGATGTAAATCTTAACTTACCTTGGCAGCATCATTTATAAAAATAGAGGATCTGAAGGAGATATGAAAGCAGATATTGTCAGATCAAAGGCGACACTACGACAATTAAAGAATATCTGGAACCCGAAGCAACTGTTAGCCAACACCAAAACCAGAGTCTTCAGCACAAATGTTAAAACAGTTGTATTGTACGGAGCTGAAAAGTGGAGAAATACTACAACCATCATCAAAAGACTACAAGCAATTGTAAAGAGCTATCTACGGAAGATATTTCAGACTCATTAGCCAGAGACCATCAGCAAAATTCTGCCATGGCAGAGGACAAACCAGCCAGTATTTGAGGAGAAGATTGGGGAAATACACTGTAATCCTTGAGAAAAAGTATTGGTTGTCAATTTATAAAGATGCTAATTAGTACAATGTAGAATTATTAAAAGCTGTTGTTCATTTTAC